AATACCATTTTTATTATGTCATATGAAGGGTACACATGTCAGCATGAAGATAACACATTACATCTAGTAGTCCTGTCTGCTTAGGCTTCACTGGTCTGTGACAGTCTCTTAGACTTTACTACTTTTTGATGACCTTGATAGTTTTCAGGAGTACTCCTCAGATATTTTGTAGAATGTTTCTTGGTTGGGATTTGTCTGATGTTTTTCTCCTAATGAGACTGGGGTTATGTGATTTGGGGAGGAAGACCACAAAGATAAAATACCATTTTTATTATGTCATATGAAGGGTACACATGTCAGCATGACATTTCACTGAGGATGTTGACCTTGATCATCTGACTGAGGTAACATTTGTCAGATTTTTCCACTTTAAAATTACTCTTTTCCCCCTCCTTTCCATACTGTTTTTGGAAGGAAGTCCCTATGTGCATTCCCTACTTATTAAAAGATGGGGAGTTATCCTCCATCTTCTAGATACATAAATTATTTAGAATTCTGCCTGGGAGTCTCTTATATTCTCCCCTGTTTATTTATTTATTCAGTTACTTATTTATATCAGTATGGACTCATGGTATTTATTTTATATTTTGGGTTGTAATCCAACACTGTTGTATTGCTCAATTTGTTCTAGGTTTAACTCTTTCTGTTAATTCTTAGATCCCTCTGACAAATTCTCATCCATACAGGATTTTTTGGTTTTTTGGGTGGTTAGCACTTGCTTACTTTCTGGCACCATTAGGTGCTCCAATTTCATGTTGTATATATCCTGCCTTGGTCCTAGATTGAGCCATTTTTCTGAGAAGCCCTGATTCCTTTTACTGGAGAATGGAATTAGAACCCAGGATCTGTGCTTTAGGTCTGCCCTATGCTACTGGGGTGTCATTATTCTAGGCCCTCTCAACTGACAAAGCAAGAAAATATATATGTGTATACTAACCCCTGCATATACACATATTTATGAATATTTCTAAATATAACCGTATCTATATTAAACTAAATATGAATTCATACTGATGTTGCCAACTCAGTTCATTACCACATGGATCATTATAGCTTCTTCCCCTTGCTTTTGTGTAAACTCTTACTCCAGGAGTGAAAAGTCTGACTTTTACCATCTGTGTATTTAATTGTGCGGTTCCGTTAAACATGTATAGTGACATCAGAATTGTTAACCCAAGCTCCCATGAGAAATAACTTCATCAATTAGGGTATAGTGCTTATGTACAGTTTATTTTTCTTTTAGTCATTTACCTTTAGTTTTACAGATTCCACTCACTTTCACATTACTTTGTCAGCACCTCTCCACCCTGCCCGCCCTCCCCCCCACTTCAGTAAGATGGTTTCATACATTTGCTATATAGTTAAATTATTTTGTTATCTTCTACATTTCATCCCAGGATCTGTTGGTTTCCCAGATGATTTTTTAAATTGCATACATTAGGTTCACTCTAAAGTTCCATGTTGATGAGTGCATAATGCTGGGTATCTACCATTCCAGTGTCACAGAATAGTTTGCTCTGAAAAATTTCCTTTGCTTCACTTACATCATCTTTCCTCTCCCCAAACTTCTAGCAACCGCTTGTCTTTTTACCATCTCTGTAGTATAACCTTTTCCAGAATGTCATATACTTGGAATCAAACAGTATGTAGCTTTTTATTTTACTTTTTATCACTGAATAATATTCCATTGTGTGGATGTACTATAGTTTGTCTATCTGCTCCTCTACTGAAGAATATCATCTTGTGTCCAGTTTGGAGTGATTATGAATAGAGTTGCCATACAGAATCGCTTGCAGATTTTTATATGGACATAAGTTTTCAAATCAGTTGGGTAAATACCCATGAGCACAGTCGCCAGATGATATGGTAAAAGTATGTGAGCTTTTTAAATATCTTGTCTTTGTGTTGTACACAGTTTCTTGGAATAGAATAATCACTTGCCATTTTCCTTGCCCCTTCTCCCTCCAAGTTTCTTTTGACTGTTGATTCCAGGTCCTACCATCGCTATAAAAGAACAGATGATATAGAATTTTGGCTTATCATTTTTTTTGGTAATAGAATCCTCTAATGATCTTTTCCTTGTGCTTGTGATATTTTCAGTTGTCTTTCGGTGAAAGTAATCACCTACATCTAGTTGAATTTGACTGTTTTGCACTTTCTGGAAGTATAGCAGGAATATATTTTGCAGGTGGCTTACACAGCCTATAGGTTGTTACAATTACTTTCTAATTGGGTTGTATTGTTTTATTTTAAAGCATTTCATAGTTGCTAAAAATCCTGCAGGATTGCATTTTCTTCTTTAACCATCACCCTCAAGCAGTATGTTTTTTAAAATATGTAATTGTATTTATTAACTTTAAGGTAAAAGATACTTATTTAAATCAGATTTATGTTTCCGTAAAATGATAGTATGTTTTGTTTCCTTCACAGCATTTATTCAGTCGGAGAGCATAATAGAAGTACTACGTTTTGATGATGGAGGGTTACTACAGGTAATTTTATTTTAAGTTGAAAAATTATCTCAGTGTCAAACCTTGGATAATATTGGATTGTTATTTATCTTTTAAAAATGTAACTGGTTTCTATGAGATATATTTTATGAGCTTTATATGCAGACAGTTTTGTAATAAAAACCTACTTAGCTATATGAATTATCTTTTAAGTTAAATATTATTGGGGGGTTGTGGGAGGTTTGGTGGAGAGAGTCAGATCAGGGACAGTGGAATTGGTGGTTAGCTCTGTGAGTATGGAGCCCCAGTGAGTGAAGCACTCAGTTCAGATGTCAGACCTCAGAATATTTATCTGGAAGAAGACTTCTCTAGAATATAAATTCTGTAGATATACATCTATATCATCTTTCCACTTGCCATTCTAAGCCACATCTTTAAATATATTATACATAAAATTGGAAGGTATAATCTGGTGTCCTGCCTTTCAGACCTAGCACAGATATCCCATGAAGCCTATTTTAGTCTTCCTAGCTAAAAATCAGTTCCAGAATTTCAGAGCTGAAAGACAGAGTAGAGGCTTCTTAACCATCCCTCTGATTTTTAGGACTGAGGTGTTTTCTGTGCTTGTTTAATACTACTTACCACTTTTGTAATTATAACATGTATTTTCAAGTACCATCTATTTGGTAGCGTGACTCAGAATTTTTACGAGGTTTAGTTTAAGAAAGGTGCCAAAGATCCCATGACTTTGTGGTAATGGGGCTAGTATTAGAATTCTCATCTTCTCACTCCAGGTGTGATTGTTTGTCTTTCTCTTACTTGGTGCTGCCTATGATGTATTTCACTTAATTATAATTAAGTACATGACTTAAATAGTTCTGAAAAAAATATTCCCCATAGCTTGTAATAATGGCAGGAAACTAAAAGTTAGATTAAGGCAATAGAGAAAAAACAATTGTGCTAGAGACCTGAAATAAGATTTCTGTTTTCATTTTCATAAATTTAGATTTCAGACAATAAACCAAACAAAGAGAACAAGAAAAAAAGTGATGGGTTTTAAGGTTCTTTTTCTCTGACAATAAAGCAAGTAACTGTTCTGAATGATAACTTTTTCCCTGCTTCCAAATTTTTAAATAAGCATATCATTCATACCTTTACATAAGAGATGTTGAGAAACACAGCAGGCAGTGTCTGCTGTGGTACTTGCAGACAAGTCTTTGTACAGCTTTTTATATTGAAAAACTGAATAAAAACTAAAGATATATAATCTCAAATTTTGTAAAGCCTCCTTTCCTAGAAAATGAGCTTAGTCTCTTTTTTTTAGTTCTTTAATCTGTTGCAAGGTGAGAACTTGGAGACCTGATAGGAATGACTATTTTAAATGTCTTCCTTTAGGTGGTTTGCAGGATCTGGATAACAGGCAAATCAGGACTGAATTTCTGGAAAATTCTCCTTTATTAACTGAAGAAGGATCCATGTCCTTTATGAACTAAACATCTAGGTTGCAAGTGATAATTCATTTTGAAAATTCTGGAGCTTGATTTGTGTGTTTGTCGGGGGAGGCTGTCAGTCCCTGTCTACATGGACTTAGCTGTGAAAGGGCTTGTGGACTGGGATGTGACTTGCTCATCCTCTTTGAGTTTGCTGAAATGCTTGGACAAGAGCTTGGTTGAGACCTCGGTTAAGACCTCAGAGTTCTCTGGCAAAGGTAATTTTAGACAGGAACAATGTTGAGGGTTAGGTGGTACCAGTTGGTTACCTCAACCACAGTGAAACCTCACTAAGACCCCTATAGTATGTCTAATGTCAAGATGCTATATATAGTGTATTATTTATCCCCAAGTAGCATAATATAAGACCCTTTTGAATAGATACATGCAAAATTGTTGATTAATTGATAAGTCCATAAAAATTGCCAAAACTCATAAAAAATTTGCTAGAAACTTTGGATTTACCTTCCTTGTTTTTTAAAGATAAGGAAAGTGAGGCTCATAGAAATTAAATAATTTGCTCAATATTCAGTTACTAGAGCAGGAATCCAAGATTCAGTAGTAACCAGCCTTTCTGCTTTCAGAGCTCTTTCCACAGCACCACGCATGTGCAGTTCCTCCCAGTGCATTGCCTGGGTTACCACTAATAATAATAGGTTATGATTAGAAACCACAATAATCCTCTTAGCCCATGTTTTCTGTAGTTGGTGCTTTGGCTATTGCCGTTCCTGTTTGGCAAGACTACTAAGATTTGGTATATAGAATATAGAAAGATGAAGTATTTCCTAAGAGGAACAGACACTGAGGATTCTGCTTCTCAGCAGAAGACTCATCACCATAGGGGGTACAGGTCAAGAAGTATTTTAAACTTACCATTCCAGTCCTAACTGATGTGAGTGGTTGGCTCTTCTTGACCCATTCCTTTGATAGATTATGAAATTGAATAACAAAAGATATACTTAAAAGCCTTAATCTGTTCCCTAATCTAACTTTCTTATAAACAAATGAAAATAAAGCCCAAGGAAAAGGCTAGTTTTGTATTTTTCTTTTTCTTCCTTCCTTTCTTTCTCTTTTTCTTTTCTTTCTTTCTTTTTCTTTTCTTTTCTTTTCTTTTCTTTTCTTTCTTTCTTTCTTTCTTTCTTTCTTTCTTTCTTTCTTTCTTTTTTTCTTTCTTTCTTTCTTTTTCTTTCTTTCTTTCTTTCTCTCTCTCTCTCTCTCTCTCTCTCTCTTTCTTTCACTACTCTACCAGAACAATAAACAGAATTTTAAGATGTTGGAAGGCAAGCTCCATAATGTTCATGAGTTGAAAATACATGCAGAGTTTTGTTTTTTAAAGCTCATAACTATAGGACTACATAATTTTGTTTTCTCACTTTGGTCAAGAAAGAGGAATATTCTTTTCATTGTATGCTTGTTGGTCGTTCTCATAACCTATAGGCATCTGTTATCTCTACTCACTACCTGGCTTTCAGGTACCTAAGGCAGGGGATAGCCAGAACTCGTATTTTTTAAGTACTTGCTGGAGTCTCAGCTAGTTCATTAATTGGCCCCAAATTTCAGTACTAATAAGGGGTACAAGAAGAATAAGAAGTAATTTTGATTCCAAAGCTCTTATACGTAATACTTTCCATTGCTCTGCTGCCTAAAGATTAAGTAACAAGGTTGCCTTAGAGGAAAGAGATAAATTCCTAATTGCTGCGCTTAGAAGACAGTTCAGGTCTAAGAGATCTCTTCATATACACATAATAGATAACAGGTTCCACTTCTGTTGTGCCCCAGTATTTCAGCTGCAGAACTGTTGTTAGTCAGCCAGAGTTGTTCATATTACAGAAATAACTCTTTTCCCACTCTTCTCAGGGAAAGGTTGGGGAAAAGATTGTAGAAAGTTTGTTTACTATTCTGTGTCATGTTGGTCGGGAAAGGACTATGGACGCCTTCCTTAACTAGACAGTTACTTGCAACACACCAAAACACTCAGTTGAATAAGTAAGGGAGCATATAGTTTGGTTGTCTAGTAGTTCTCTTGTTCTTGGATGAGCTTACATTTAAAATATGCTATTTTTTAAAGATGGCCATAGTATAACTTAACAGGAGTTATAAGGAGGCTATTGGGGATAACTTGAGCTCCTAGACAAGTTTTTTTAGTTTCTGTAACTAAAAGGAGTTGGAGCCATTGGAAGCTCTGCATTCTAGAAGATGAATCCGGTTCATTCTAGACGTAGGCAAATATAAATGGTTCTAGCAGTCAGTTAGGGATCCTATATTGAGTCTTTTTCCAAGGAGTGTAAAGACATCTAAGAATTTAATTAATTTCTTTTTCTTTAATTAAGCTGTTTGTTTAATGTTATATATTTATATATATATATATATATATATATATATATATATATATATCCATATATACATGCATAAAACATGGGGGGTTTTTGCGAAGCAAACACCTATAAATAACCACCACCCCAGTTAAAAACTAAAAACATGCCAACACTCTCATAAGTTCCCCCCTGAAGCTCTCTCTCAGTCACTATCCCCAAGAGTTGGCCATAATCCTGAAGTGTATGATAATTTCTTTCCCTAGAAGTCTTACCATCTGAGCATGTGTCTCTAAACATTATAGTTTCATCTGTTTTTTTGAAGTTCATACCGTTTGTATTCTTTTTTTTTTCCCCCAGCTTTTTCTTAGGGTTAAGTTTCTAAGATTCTCTGTGCTGTTGAGTATGACTGTGGTTATTCATTTTCCTTGTTGAGTAGTATTGCATTATATGAATATGCCCCCAATTTATATATAATTTCTGCTGTTAATGGACATTTCACTTATTTCCAATTTTGGCTGCTATAAATAAATGCTGTCTCTTGGTGAACATATGCATTTCTGGTAGAGTTGAGTACAACTGCTGGGACATAGGTTATGAATCTTCTATTTTAATACGTAATGCCATATGGTTTTCCAAAGAGCTTGTTCCAGTTTACAGTTCCATCATCAGGAATTGCTCTGCAATACTTCATGTTTGTTTGTTTGTTTTAAAGCATTCTGAAGAGTGGGTAATGTATCTTACTGTAGTTTTAATTTTCATTTCTCTGATTCCTAATAAGGTGGAGCAAATTTTCATGTTATTTGACCATTTGGATATCTTTTATGAAATCTCAGTTAAATCTTTTGCCCTATTTAACTGTTGGGTTGCATGTCTTTTTCCCTCTTGTTTGATAGGAGTTCTTTATAAATCTGGATACAGTTCTGGTTATATATATTAGAAATATCTTCTACTTGGTGGATTCCCCTTTCCACACATAATGGTGACTTTGATGAACAGAAATTCTTACTTTTAATTAATTTTAATTTTAATGTAGTTTAAGCTGTATTTTTCATTACAGTTTATATTTTTTGTGTACTGCTAAGGAAATATTTTCCTATCCAAGGTCATAAAAATGTTCTCCTTTATTATTGTCTAAAAACCAGAAATTTATTGTTTTGCCTTTCATAATTACAGCTGTAATTCTAGCTGAAATTGACTTTGTTATTGGTGTGATGTCATAGTTTTATTTCTCATTTAT